ACACCATTTTTGCCAGATCTTTAGCATTTACATCATATATGCTACAAAACACATCTGCAAAACTACAGTAAACCTATAATAAAACTAGAGTAACCTACAAGCAACTACAGTAAAAGTACAGTAATCTAGAGTCAACTACAGTAAAGGTACAGTAAAGTAACCTACAGTCAACTACAGTAAAAGTACGGTAAACCACAGTAAACTCCAGTAACCTACAGTCAGCTACAAGAAACATATGGAAAACTATAGTAAAAGTACAGTAAACTAGAGTAACCTACAGTAAAATAAAATAAGAGTAACCTACAGTACAGTAAGCTTAAGTGACCTACAGTAAAAGTAGAGTAAAACCTGTACTTAGACAGCCAGATCAGGTCAGTTGTTAAAACAAGTTTTTATCATTTGAAGCAGTTTGCCAAAATGAAACTGATCAGTCTTTGAGACTGTAATCCATGCCTTTGTTACCACTGGGGGTTAGAGGGTAATTCATACTTTATCTGAGGGTTAGTGGGCCCTCCATGTTTTATGTGGGGGTTAGTGGGCCCTCCATATTTTATGTGGGGGTTAGAGGGTCCTTCTTGCATTATCTGGGGGTTAGTCCGTCCTTTTATTTCATAATTTTAAAACAATTCTGAAAACTCAGTAGAAACAACGGAGTGAAAAAAAATTATAACGCACTTTACAAAGTGTCAAAATCCAAAGAAACATTGGATTTTGACACTTTGTAAAGTGCGTTATAAATTTTTTTTTTTAACCAGAGTTTTATTTTTACTTTTTTTTTGTTGTTGTTTGATCAGGTAAAGATCAGATAAAATACAGTAACCTATAGTAAAAGTACAGTAACCTACAGAACAATTACAGTCAAGTACATCAAGCTGGATGGAGCGGTGGGCTTCAGTCATACTGCACCGGGACTTTTTTCATCTATCAGGTCGGACCGGAACTGAGCCGTTCCTGTACTGCAGAGACTGGTAAGTAAAATGTAGTAGCTATATATACTTATATGTAGCTTTTTGTTAAAATTAGTAGGTTTAAGAGTTCAGAGGACTGATTTGTGGGCTTCATTGCTGTAGGTCTGCAGAAACAAACCGAGTCAGAATAAAACAGAGTTGGACCAGAACCAGAGCTGGTGCTGTTCTGCAGAGCTAAGTAAAATTTTGTAACATATGTTGTTAAAATGACCAAGATTTAAGAGTTTAGAACATTGTAAGTGTGTGGGAAGGGTTTCTAAAGCCTTAATATAAAGTTTACAGAACTTGAACTTGGGACTCTCAACTTCACGTTTTTTCACTTACCGCGAGGCTTCCGTACCCTGAAGCCTCGCGGTAATCAAGTCTCTCTTGTAAATGAGTCCCCGAGGCTCAATGGGACTAACCTGTATAAATACAGATGGAATGAATGGTAAACAAGAGACTACTGTATTTTTATCTTAACATGTAATTCTCGATCTGCCATTGTGTATCTGTTCCTCCTTCCCGTTCCTCTCAAACCCAGCCGGTCGAAGCAGATGGTCGCTTGTCCTGAGCCTGGTTCTGCTGAAGGTTTCTTCCTCATGAGGGAGTTTTTCCTTTCCACTGTCGCCTTCGTGCTTGCTCAAGATGAGAGTTCTGTGATGGAATTAAATTCAAAGCAGTCTGCTCCTCAGATAAATAATGTTAAATTATTTTTTTGAATGTATGAATGTTTCTGTTCAGGATCCTGAGATGACTTCTGTTGTGACTTGGCGCCATATAAATAAACTGAAGTGAATACAGTGATTTACAGTAACCTATAGTATAGGGGCGGCTGTGGCTGAGTGGTTAGAGCGGTCGTCCTCCAATGCGAGAGTTGGGGGTTGAAATCACCAGCAGTCACATGCCGAAGTGTCCCTGGGCAAGACGCTGAACCCCTCATCGCCTCTGATGTGTGTCCCATCAGTGTATGAATGTGATGAAGCTCTGATTAGTCTCTTTAGAATGATTTGTTCAATTATCTTTGTAGAGATCTAGTAGAGTGATGTATGAACGGGTAAATGAGGACACAGATTGTTGTAAAGAGCTTTGAGTATTTCAATAAGATAGAAAGGTGCTATACAAGTACAGTCCATTTACCATTTAATGATGATGATGTTAACTCTGCTGGTCACATGACTTGGTCTATCTCAGATCTTACTGCATCACGTGATCAAGTTGTTACTGCACACTGACAGTCTTGTTAACATATATTCCCCTGGCCGAATGCAGATACTGTACAGTACACCTGATCCGCTCGCGTGCCCGCGCTACACCCTCACCTTGCTGACATATTTCCGGTAGTAGTTTAGCTGGAAGAGCAGAAACACGCAGCTGCTGATCAGCAGCAGCGACAACACGGCGGTCCGGTTCACGCGAGGCATCCGGTACCAAGCTGATCATTACGTCAGAACCGAGATACAGTAACTGCAGGACGGCGAAGGGAGGCGGGAAAAATCTTTTTAACCGCAGGTAAACAATGAGCTGCCCGACGCCATCTTTAAATCCAGCTCAGACTAGACCCCGCCTACTTCCTGAGAGCGCTTCACAATAAAAGTTCAATTTTTTTTTTTCCACGATTTTACATTCATTGTTTAATATATTTTGTAGTAAAATTGAATTTAAAAAACAGACGTTGTTGACTGCGTGAGAACAGTAGTAAAGACAGTTTACACATACACACACACGCACACAGAGATGCTGCTGAACTTGTGAGGACCAGTAGGAGCCCGGTCCTCACAGCGCCGGTGTTTAACACGCACACTAAAACAAGATGGCGGAGCGCAGCAGCTGTAGCGGCCCTACAATAAGAAAGTCCGGTTAAAACTTCTCCGTACTATATTTACTTTACATTTTCCTTCAGAACGGAACACATGAGGACTCCCAGCCGCCTGTGACGGCCCGTTCCCGGCTGGCTGTGCTTTCCCGCAGTCTGAAGACACGGTCCGCGGAGGGTAAGAGCTGATAGCCGTTAGCTTCTCTGCAGAACCGCTGCTTGTTTTGGTACCTTGTCGGTGTTTGGACGGAACCGATGACACACAGGAGATGGTTCCCGGTTTACCGGGACCATTAGTTGGTGTACAGTGTTTGATGAAAGAACTCTCAGCGTATTTATTTATCTGCATTAACTTCGATTAAAGCCAATAAAAGACAACAAAGCGTGAGATGAACTGTCGAGCTATGGAGCTATTGTTACCGAGGAGCCACCCAAGTACTACTGTAGTACTGCTGAAGGACTGCTGTAGTATTGCTGAAGGAATACTGTAGTACAGCAGTAGTACTGCTGAAGGACTACTGTAGTATTGTTGAAGGACTACTG